ACCCCCGCTCTCTCTGCGAGCGACATTTCCTGGGGGTCTTCAGTAAAGTCCGCTTCTGCAGCGGCAAGAAAAGACCTGTTCGCCGGCGACCTGCAGGTCAGTGCTGGATGCTTTTTAAGACTACAGCCCCCACCCGAAGCCTCTACCGCAGTCTTCAGATCCGCTGGAGGAACATATATCCTCCACTGTATTTTATTGCAATGCAAACCCTCCCCAAAATCCCACCTGTTTCATAGCTCAAGTGTTGTCTATCGGTATTCAATCACCAAACGATTTGCCATCTTAACAATCTGAATGCACAAATCGTTTTATGTTTATATATATGATATCTATATATATATATCTATACATATATATGTTTTATTGATGTCATTATTACTGTTATCGATTAATTCAATGGTTGTCATTTTGATCAGAGGCTGTGCAATTGTTAAAATATCCATTTCTGCAAGAATGCAATTGACAAGTTTGCCCGTTATGTAGTGCAACAATGCAATTTTGTAATAGCTAGAATCCAGTGGCACTGCAGTGCACCAGGGCTTTCTTAGATGAAATGTTAAGTGGTAAATGTTTCCCTGATGAAAAATCCAGCAAACTGGCAAATGTGTTTTTGGAACATGACAGAACCATCTTGAACCAGCGACAAACCAGCTACCTTGGTTGAGCTGGATTTTCAGCTTAGACCAGCTAGAAACCACAAACACATTTACCAGCTGAAGCTGTATTTTCCAACAGGGACTGCTTTACTGCAGTGTAGGGAGGGATTGTACAGTTAGTTTTATTGATGGACATGGTCTCACTGCCCACTGAACCACGCTATCGTCCTTTTTCGGCTCACGGAAAACGGCACGAAGCGTGTGAAGCGATTTAAAAAAAACTACACAGCTTTCCTCTCTTCCTCCTCCTCCTCCTCCTCCTCCTTCAAAAAACAAAACAAAAACCTTCTCATGATGTAGGACAAGCGCATACCCTCTTCCCAAAATATGTTCAGTTATTTGACGGCTGTTGCTGTAGAATCTGTCTGTAAAAATGTTGTTTTTCCTTCTCCCCCGTAAGATGCGCCCTCGAAACCTCCACAGGTGTCCCGTAAGGGCGTCAGGCTAGGTCAGTAGCTCAGCCTCCATCCATGTGCTGTGTCTTCCAGTTTCCCACCCCATTTCGTGCTCATGGGGGACTAGCTCCTGTCTAACGGCAGTCGCCGATGTCTGCCTTGTCCTTGTAGTATGCTTCCGACTATTGTTCTATCTCTCTGTCTCTGTATTCTTTTTTATGTATGTCTTACTGTCTTCTCTCTGGCTCTCCCTCTTTTTTTTTCTTTTGTCCCTTCTTTACTCCCTCTGAGCCCCTCTTTTCGGACTCTCTCTACCTCTTATGTTTCTGTCCCCGTTCTCTGTCCCCTCCGTCTGTTTCCGTGCAGTGAGGCTCGTGTTTGCTCTGTGCTGCTGATGTGTTATGTTTCTCTTGTCAGTCGTGGTGACTTAAGTAGTCAAGGTGACCATTCACCATTTCATGATCATGGCATCATCTATCAACACATCCGATTGTAACTGTTTCTGTTTCTGGAATGAGGCAATATGGAACATGTATGGTTCAACAGAATTATACTGTATTTGCATTGTTTGGGAAAATATGCAAACAGTGTTGATAAAAATGTGACATGCATTATCTCAGGTGAATAGACACACGCTTATACATTAAGTGCATATATTGCTACATGAGTAGAGACTTGCATGTACACGAATCTCACAGAATGTGTCTGGAACATGTCCAAGTCATATTTGACCCCAAAAATCAAATAAGAAATTTCAATGTTTTTTTTTTTTTTTTACATCGTGACATTATTTTTAATGCCTCCAAATGTCTTATTTTTAATGCAAAAATGCATCCTCATAATGTCATAATGAAACCCTATATTTCATTTAATTATTATTATATTATAAATTATGTATACATCATTCATATTTGTTGTATTCTTTTAACCTTCCATTTAAAAAAATAGTAAAAAATAGTATTAAATAGGGGTGGGTGATATGACCAAAATCTTATTTCACTGTAACGATATACAGTTCTGTGCAAAAGTCTTAGGCACGTTCGTATTTTCACCCCAAATAAATGGTTTTAAGCCTGTTATTTATATCTTTTGTTATAGTGTGTCAGTAGGAAATATCAGTTTATATTTCCAAACATTTCTTTTGCCATTAAATGTTATAATCCAGTGAGATTTTTGTATGCACAAGGAGTCACAAGAAACAGAAAAAACTGAGACAGAATAAATCCAGAAGAACTGCGGCAACGTCTCCAAGATGCAATCCCGGACAGACTCGATGATGGTGAGATCAGATCTCCATGTGGATCAGACCGGCTGATGTCAGACTCCTTGTGTTTACAAAAAATCTCACTGGATTATTACAATTAGTGGCAAAATCAATGTTTGGAAATATAAACTGATATTATACTGACACACTACAGCAAACGATATAAATAACTTGTCTTAAAACTATTTTTTTGGGGTGAAAATACTAACATGCCTAAGACTTTTGCACAGTACTGTATATCACGATATATTATCATCAACGACAAAGAGAGCAGCAGGTATACTGTCCTAAAGCCTTGTTCATCCTTTCACCTGTCTCTGTAGCATGAGCCTCCGCTGACTGTCCAACGCTATCTCACGACCAATTCGTACGAATTCGTACGAGTGATTAAAAGGTGGCTAATTCGTACTAATTTCTATGACCTCACTCATACGAATTTGTACGATTTGTCTAATCCCACGTGATGGGTAGGTTTAGAGGCGGGGTCAGGGGTAGGTCATTCGTACGAATTCATACGAATTTGGTAACTCGTAAAATATGTACGAATTAGCAAAAATCGTACGAATTTGTACGAGTGAGGTCGTATGAATTAGTACGAATTAGCCACCTCGTAAAATTCGTACGATTCGTATTCGTTATTTGATGCTATAAAAATGGGAATGTGACGCCATGATTGACAGCTGTGATTGACAGCTTCTCTAAACAAAGTAGTCACTGAGGCACCAACGGACTGTAATTAAACTAAACTATACCTGTTCTATCCTACCCGATCTCACGGCAATTTGTACGTATTTTACGAGGTGGCTAATTCGTATGAATGCATACAACCTCACTCGTACGATTTTTGCTAAATCGTACATATTTTACGAGTTGTCCCATTCGTATGAATTTATACTAATGACCTACCCCTTTAACCTGCCCCTAAACCTACCTATCACTGGGGTTTAGACAAATCGTATGAAGTCGTACGAATTAGCCACCTCGTACGAATTCGTACAAATTGGTTGTGAGTTAGCGTTGGTTCTATCTCCATGCAGCATATATTCTCTGGCTCTTGTAGGCATCATTGTCCGACTCCGGTTCAAACATATAAGGCTGAACACCGCTACTGACAGTTTCTGACAGTTTCAGTGCGTCAGATTGTCCTGTTTTGTTGTTGCATGAGCTCTTGAAGCTCCGCCCTCTTCTTGAAAGGGGACCGGGAGCAGCAGCTCATTTGCATTTAAAGGGATACACAAAAATGCTGTGTTTATGCTCACCCCCAAAAAGTGGCAATTTTAATAATCTATAAAAATGATCTGTGGGGTATTTTGAGCTAAAACTTCACATACATACTCTGAGGACATCAGAGACTTTTTACAGCTTGTAAAAAGTGGCTTTCATCATAGGTCCCCTTTAAACAACATCTCTTAAATATTTTCTATTTAATTTCATGAACATTTTTAATAAACATGAACCTTTATTTTCAGTAAAAGCTTATTTCTGCTAGTGTAGGCTCATTTTGCAAATATAAGCAATTAATTTAGATACGCACAAACTGGGTTCTGGTAAGATGCCAGTACAGACGTCTCGTACCTGCTCCGCCAGAGTCGCCTCGAAGTCCTGCATCTTCGGAAGCAGAGCCACAAAGTTACAAAAAATGCTGTGCAAACCACCACGTGAAATGGGGTCTCGCGCACTCAATCTTCATTTGTGTTCCGAAGATGAACAAAAGTCTTACGGGTTTGGGACTACATGAGGGTGAGTAATTAATGACAGACTTTTCATTTTTTGGGTGAACTATCCCATTAACATCAAGTTCGTCCATATGATGTCTGAGGTTGAGGCTAATATCTATTAATGGAATTTACATAAACACCAAAAACCAAAAGATGCATTATAGTAATGAGAATTTGGAATCAATGCTTGATTTTTTTTTTATTTTTTTTTTATGTCACTGTGGAGAAAAAAGAAATCTAATTAGTCCTTAAAATTCTTAAATTTCTTGATTCGGGGAAATTATGACCTGGACATGTTTTCAAGAGATAGATTCACACACATGTGTTAAACCCAAAACTTTTTTCCCCAGGTATAGTCATGCCCTATACTCCAGTCTTTATTATAGAGGTGTGGATTCCGTATGTGATTTAGTAATGTTCTTCCTGATGGATGCAGGCAGGCTCGTTTGTGTGATTGATGGCCCTTCCAGCCTGTCTGAGATACTGGGGCCGCAGTGGATAGATGAGGCCCATGATGAATAGCTGATCATGACCATCATGGACATTCACTACTCTTCTGAGCTCTGGTCTTGAAAGCTGTGGGACTTTTCTGCATGCCAGGTCATCCATGTGGCCCTCTTCACTCCTCACCTCTCAGGCCTGCCTCTAAACATTTATTGTACCCGCTTGTACAGATCACCGCTTCATCAGAAAACACCTGTTATGGCTACAGCTGGTCTTCAAAACACCAGGTGTCCATAGTGAAATTGATTAATGAGGTCGCAGAAACAAATATGCAGAGCTTTGTCAACACAGCCATTCACAAATACATTCACTACCATCACCGGATAAGAAGTCAAGAACTTGTTTTAAATTCTTCATTTTTTTTCTTCTGTTAACATGATTTTTTAAAAATTTTGCAATGTGTTGGGGTGGATTCTGATAAAAATGTGGGTTGGGGACGGGGCTGTGTGTTTATTTGTTCCAGAGCCGCAGCTGAAAGGCATTGTGACACGACTGTTCAGCCAGCAGGGTTTTTACCTGCAGATGCAGCCAGACGGAACCATCGATGGCACCAAGGATGAGAACAGCGACAACAGTGAGTGATTGGAACTGCACCAAATGTGCAGCGCATACAGAGTCCAATGTACCACACTAATTGCATATAGGGGAGTCCGTTGTCGTACATTTTACTTCAGTGAACATCCCTCAGGGTTGGTTTATTTATGAAGTTCTGTTTTCTGAAAAGTGTTTGTGTGTGTGTGTGTGTGTGTGTGTGTGTGTGTGTGTGTGTGTGTGTGTGTTTGTGTGTGACGAAATAGGCTTTTCAGCAAAATGTCAACGGTAAAACAATCTTTAAACACAACAATTCAAAAATGTATACAAGGTAACAAAAATATCAAACTATTGATTGATTCAGCACGAACTGTAATTAATTAACTGTTGAAAAAGATGACAAAAAAAAAAACACGTGACAACTAACCTGACCTGAAATTTGGGGGGGGGGGGGGGGGAGTAGTACTTCATTATATAGCTGACTTTTGACTGAATGTGTCCTTCATAGCTATAACTAATATGATTAAATATACCAGACATCTGTTTGAAGACAAGCATTTGTATAATTGGACTTTTGTCTTATTAAAAATCTTATTGTTTCTCATAAAACTGTTATGATGTCTTTTTCATCTGACAAATATTAGATTTTGATTATTTAAACGCACACCATCAATGAGAATGAAATGACATAATTGTTAAGTGGATATTTGCTTCTGGTAATATATTATTGCTCTAATCATGAAAGAGCAGTGTTATTTTAATGTTTCAATTCATATGAATTTGAATCGTTTTGAATGCAAATTATTATTCAAATGGTAAGTGTTGATGAGATCAGAACTGTTACAACGTACTGGAAGGGCAATCCCACTTAACCAGGTTTGCAGCACTTCTCTATTGCCAGCGCTCTTTCTATGAGTCATCCTTTCTGTAGGGCTGTCTAACAAAGGCAATACACTCGTGGCCCATAATGAGAGTGGTTAAACGTGTGAATTGTATGCATTTCCTACAGTTTGTGCTGTTTCTTGTGAAAGACCCGACTGCCTAGGATCTCCATGGAGTCGTGCTAAAGTATTTACATGGCTTATTCATTAAAGGTGGTTCTTATGAGGAACAGTCGGCTGGCAAAACTACATTTATATTAGCCTGGTTAAAACCAGACCATTCTCAGTTGTAACTGAGTTCTGGCAAAGCGTCATAAACAAATCATTTCCAGAGGGATGTCATTTCCACCAACGGACGTCGTGGATACGTATGCAGAGCGGCGGAGAAACATCTCCGAGTGTTGTTCTTTGCTCGGTTTTAACAAAAAGAGAATGTTCAAATCACTTAAAACAGACGCGATAGCTGATTCGAACGAGTCATGTTCGACGGCGGCATCCATCTTTGTAATGTAGGCTACAAAATCTGCTTCAAAATCCCAGCGCTGTCATCATCGTGTAAAGCCCGCCCCAACGTTTCTGATTGGTGCCTCGATTTCGACGGATTGGAAATGGGCTTGAATGAGCTCTTTGCCAGACTAACTTTCAGAGCAAATCTAAATTTGCCGGAAGTTGTCTGGGTTTACCCAGGCTACATTTATATGGTATGGCCATAAAGAATAGGTATAACTTTTGTATAAACATTAGTTTCACTATGGGTATTAAACTTTTACACCAATGCCCTTTCAGAACAGGCAAACAGTCCTCTCTGAGGGAACAGCTTCTGAACAAATGAACTCTCCAGGGCCATGTAGGTCGCTCCAGTCCCCTAACATCATCTGTGTCCAGAACAGACTTTGGTGTAAAACAGAGAAGACTTCTTAAAATCCCCTAAAAAGTTTGTATGTGGCATTTGTTGGGAATGATTTGTCACTGTAGAAGAAACCTCACTATTGGGCCCTATCATACACCCGGTGCAATGCGGCACCAGGCGCGACCCAAGTGCTTTTTGCTAGTTTCAGCCCGACGCAGTTATCATTTTCATGTCCTGCACCACGTTGTTTAAATAGCTAATGCATTTGCACCCATTTGTGCGCCCATGCCCATGTGCTGGTCTGAAAACGACGTGTGCTCAGGCTCATTGTTGGCGCATTGCTATTTTGAGGCAACTGAAATAGACTGCTCCAATATTTGTTTTCGTTATTTAAAGAGCGCGTTAGTAATGTGCACCAATGCGCATACACTTTGTCCCGTAGATGTTCTGCTTGCTTGCTTTAACCTCGCACACGAGCAGATCCGTTTCATCGCTAGAGAAGCGTTCAGTTCCCTTTCGAGGGAACTCGCGATGCGTCACTTGACGCTTTGGGAACGCCCCCAGCGTGAATGCGTCTGAGCATCAATGTCAACTAGTCCAATGGAAAGAATGAGCATCACGGGCGGGTGACGTCATGACCAGGAAGGCATAAGAGCACATCCGGTGAAACGCGGCATTAACTTCTGTGTCTCAGCAAGCGATCTGTGTTACTCTGTCTCTGTCTATTTATTGTTGTCTGTTCGATATTATTGGGAAGAGTTATGGCGAAACAACTTTACAAACTCTGTGCTTCTCCCTGCCCGCGTTATTTAACGGGTGGGGACACACACGAGCTTTGTGTAGTTTGTTTGGGAGTGGAGCATGCGGTATCAGCCTCCGAGGGGGCTGATTGCAACATTGTGAGAAGCTTTCGCTTCGCATGCTCCACTCCCGCCTGTCACTTTTCGAGGAAAGTGGCCAGGCTCGCGATCCTCGGGGTGCAGGACACGCGTCTGCCGAGGCAGCGCGGAGAATGCATTCCTGTGGATCGCGAATAGGATCTCGTTACGGGGTTGGAGACGGGTCCGCGGATCTTATCTCCTCCCTTTCCACGAGGGATCCAGTGCTCTCTCTCCGATCTCTGGAGGCCCGCGCTGCGGTCTCTTCCGCCCGGGGAGAGAAATCAATGCTTCAGTGCTCTACCTCCGAGGAGGTAGATGTGCTGGGCATTGAAAGTGTACACAATCATGGGGGAAGTGGATTTGCCATCTCTTCCCCAGCGTATGAGAATTATATATAGCCTATATATATATATATATATGATAGTTTATATATTATATAAAGTGTATATATATAAAGAATGTATATAAAAAAAATATATATATAATAATAAGCTGGTGGAGGTGTTTACTAAGGCTGTAGATAAATTAAATATTTAATGGCCAGCAGAAATAAGGGGGCACTCGTCCTTAAAATAAATTGAACGAGTTTCCTTCCCTCTATTTTTCCACCTCCATCACGGGGCCTTCCATTTTTCCCGATCTGCACAGCGAGCTGTCTAGATCATGGAAAAAGCCTTACTCATTTTTTAGCCCCACATTCATGTATATTCAGATATTTGGGGGTTAAGAGAGTATGGCTATGGGGCAATACCCCGGGTAGAACAGACACTTGAGAGCTATGTCTCCCGGTTCAGTATCGTCCCTGAAGGCGTCGGCTTCTCTCACTAAACCATTAAAGAAAACTATTTTTTAATCTAGTGGGAAAAGCATATATGGCAGTGGGTCTGGCACGAGCCTGCTTGCACACTATAGCAGTGCTGCAAGCATATCAGGCTGACCTGCTGTGGTATTTGGACAGAAGTGAGGGAGTTTGGCCCGATGGGGTTTGAGAACTCCGTCGGGCCTCATATTTATCTCTCAGGGATGGCAGCCAAAGAAATGTGGTCACTGAGAGACACCTCTGGCTCAATTTGATGGGAATCATGGAGAAAGATACAAGATAATCTCTCCCTCGCTATGTCCAACCCACTGGGGCTGCTGGGCGTGAGCAGCTCCAGCCGGCTAGTTTCTCATACACAACACAGCAGCCAAAGCCTTCAAAGCAGAAGCCGGATCCGAGGACCGTTCTTTATGGTGAGAAGGCTGCGGCTCAAAAGAAAAGGTCTGGCGCCACGGCGTCAGACCGGTGAGGGCAGCCCCAACCGGGGTGGAATGGTGTACACCTCATTATACGGTGCCCTTTCCATCTCTGTGCCCTCAGGGGACCGTTCTGCCAACCCCGCCACCCTTGGTGCTTCGGGGCGCAGCGTTCTCCAGCGAGCTTCTGGCGCAGCGTCAACTCGACATTGCGTCGGACTCGCGCCCTCTGAGGGGGGTTCGAAAACAGTCAGTTCGGGTGGTTCCTGCCAGTATGTTTCAGGTCCCCGAACTGGCTGTCTTTATTACACCAGAGGCCAGCCTCGAGGGGCTGGTTCCCTTGGTAGATTTTCTGGCAGCGCGGAAGCTACTGCCAGATATATCTCTATGGGTAATGGTAATCTCTCTGGTAATGGAGCAAGGGGTAAAGGCCCTGTTAGCAAAGAAAGCTATAGAGCAGGTGTACTCACCCGACATTGCGTCGGGTCTTTACAGTCGTTATCTCATTGTTCCAAAAAAGGATGGAGAGCAGCGTCACATACTAGATCTTCGTCTGTTGGAGTGTTTGGTGCTGGAACTCAAGTCCAAGATGCTGACACTCAAACAGATCGTGACTCAAATCAGATCCGAGGACTGGTTTGTCACGATAGATCTAAAAGACGTATACTTCCATATCTCCATCCTCCCTCAGCACAGGAGGTTCCTGAGGTTTTCTTTGGGGCAAAGAACACCAGTATCAGGCACTTCCTTTCGGTCTAGCTCTATCACCCCGCACATTCACGAAGTGTATAGACGCAGCTCTGACCCCGCCAGGCTGCAGTGTATACGCATTCTGAATTGCATAGATGACTGGCTGATTCTAGCGGAATCAGAACAGTTAGCGGTTCGGCACCGAGGTGTCGTTCTCGCTCATATGCAGATGTTGGGGTTGAGGCTCAATGCCAAGAAGAGTGTGCTTTCTCCAGTACAGAGAACCACTTTCCTTGGTGTGGTATGGGATTCAGTGACGATGCGGGCCACTCTGTCGCCCGTTCGTGTAGCTGCTATCCTAACAGCCACAAAAGAGCTGAGGCTAGGCCAGTCACGCACTGTAAAACAGTTCGAGAGACTGTTGGGTCTTGTGGCAGTAGCGTCCAACGGGATACCTTTTGGCCTGCTGTACATGAGACCTTTGCAGTGGTGGCGCAGGACCAGA